CTGTCGCGGAACCTGTCATGGAGCCAATGACCACAATGGCTCCGCTCGCCTCGCACGTGATCCAGGGGTTCCGAGCAAACCTCCAGAAGAAGTCGCAACGCCTACAGACTTTTGGCTTTGATCCTTACTTCTCGGCCTACATTGCTGTGACCATGCACATGAACCATCAGCTCAAGGCGAACCTGGCAGCAACCTGGTCTTCCCATTGGGACCATGTCATGGTACCCTTCCTCGAAGGTGCCCTACACCGCAACCTTGCAAGTCCGGACATCACCCCAGCATCCTTGGAAGACGCCCGAGCCCACCTGCACAAACAGTTTGGTTTCCACTTGGGAGTCGCCGCCCTGGCCCGAATGTTGGACGCTTCGACGAGCAATTTTACTGGACTCGCTGAGTTCGATGAGTGGGTGCAGGCGGTTGATTGCATGTTTCAGCACGAACCGCTTGAATACACCATGCTGACCAAGCTCCAGATGCTGTGCAAGCTCCAGCGCCAGTGCACTTGCAGCCGACTGGTGGAGCGTCTCGCCACTGCGGCACACCAGGCTACATCTGGTCCAGCAACCACGTTGACTAGAATCGTGAAAGAAGCTCTCGATGGTTACGTCCCGACTCGTGATACTCTTTTCAGCGTGCCAAGCAACCGGACGGCGCACAAGGGGCCGACGATCCACTCGGCCGCCGGATGCCGCAAGCGGCCTCTGAAAGAATAGGCCAAGGAAGGTCTCGGAGGGGCAATGGCTGTTGCGTACGTCGTGAAGATACTCAAACTCTGGGTGAAGAGGATCGGGGTCCTCCTTGGTAAAGGGCCAGCCGCGGTAGGGCCGGCCATCATCGGGCCACTCCAGAAACCAGCCTAAAGCCGACGCGGGCCATGGAATAGCGCAGTGGTGTGGTGCCAACGGCGTGAGGGCAGGGCGTGGTCCTTGGGAAGTGTGGATGAGCAAAGCTGTGGCTGAGGGAGGAAGGGTGCGAAAAGCTAACCAAGCATGGTGACGGAGATGACGTCTTCGAGGCCCTTGAGCGAGCGCATCAAGAGGGCGCGGTGGGCCCAGGGACAAGCCCATGCCACGTCTAAAAAGGATGGGCCGAGATGAGTCGCAAGGCACTTTCCAAAGCTCGAAGCACTGTCCAAAGCATGTGTGTGTGCATGCACGCGCAAGGCGAGGGGATGGCAAAAACACAGTCGAGACGCACAGAGGTGGTAGCGACCGGCTTCGGCCGGGTACTTTTCCGAGCCAATGGTGTCGTGAAAGGCCGTAGGGGGGCGACGAAAGGCACCAGCCTTGGCCTCTTCCTCAGACACGCCAAATTTGTTTTGGTCCGAGCCCTCGACCTACGCACGAATTTGGAAAGAGCCAGCGTCAGAAGCTGCAAGTGGCCAGGATGGCAGACACCAATAGGCGAGAGCACCAACGTGGGCAAATTGATCCGAGGCAGTGGTGCCAAAGATGTCGCCTTGGCTGGCGCCGACGTTATCCTTGTTAGCAGCCATTGTGAGCAACCGGGATTGAGGCAAGACTGCAGAGCCGAAGCTGAATCGGGATGCGCAATAGTACAGCAGCAAAGCGTTGATGAGGGGCCAGGTTTGCGACTTTTTTAAAAAAAAAAGAAAGAGGTCACAAGTGATAGAGTCGGCACGCAACAACAACAACAACAAAGAAAAGAGCCGGATGAGGGAAGACATACCGGTGGGTCGAGGTAGCGCGGGCAAAGGGCTTGCTGGTGACGCCGGTGTGCGCAGTTCGAGAGGCTGTGAGCAGACGCTTGGAGACGGGAACACTCGATCGCCACAACCGCTGAAGATGCGCTCCAAACATTGATAGCTGAACATGGCAGCACGTAGCACGGTCCGTGAGAGTTGGGGCCAGGTAGGAGTACGCAGGACAGGCAACAGTCTTTGCGCCAAGCCACAACCGGGACGTACCGAGGAAGGGAGTGAGACAACAGTACGCGTAAAAGGGCTCCAGGCACTGGGACTTGTTCTTGAGAGAGAGAGAGAGAGATGAAGAAAATGCCACTTGGAAAAGTGTGTTGAGCATCTAATCTTGTTGTGATGGCAACATGATCAGAGACTGTGTCATTCGTGTTGGACGAAGGACCCAGAGGCTTGAGAAAGGTGGACGACTTGAGACGAATGCGCGAGGCGCGATCCTTGCCATGGCCAGTCCTGTGCAAAGTGCGTCCCAGTGTTCATGGACGTCGCCGCTGCCCTTTTAGCTTCTTTTTTTTCAGGTAGCTCCATCCTCGGATGTAAACTTTTTTTGCCTGGGATGTGTATATTTGTCCTGGGAAATAGCATTGGTATCCTGGGAAATAACATCTGCTTTGTTTTTTTTGCGATGATGGTGTTATGACGTGATTTCGTCATCTTGATGGGAGAGTGTGTTGCAGCCAGGCGCGCTTTCGTAAGCGCGCTGGGAAGGCCTCCAGCTTGCAGCGGCCGCGGTGGCGCGCCGAGCTCGGTGTGGCGGTGTGCGACCTTGAAACCAACAAAACGAATTGTGACGCCGAAATGATGGTGGTGGGGGTAATTGGTGATGGTGATGAGGAAGAGATGGCAACTTGGTCTTGCAATTCTTCTGCAAAGCTAAAACGATCAGACTATGTATCATCATCATATACTATCATGTCGTCGTCGCAGCACGGTCTGTCGGCGAGGGCGGGCTCGGCCCTGAACCCACTCGCGTCTAGACCTGGCCTGGCGCATGGCCCAGCTCGCTTGCGGCTGAGCACGCTCTGAAAACAACGCACACACATACACATACACACACAGAGGGCACATACATCAGTACAGACACCCGTATGTTGGAGCGAATTAAGTTTTTTTCTCTATGGGAGGCTGTAGGCGGTTTGGCCGTCCTCTTTGTCGTTCTCGTGAGGGTGGTGGGTGTGGGAGGAAAAGAGTTGGTCAAGCTCTTCGGGGGTCCAAGACTCTTCGTGGTGGTCCTCGTCGTTGGTGACCGATTGGCTAGGGGTTGTGTCCAGAAAGGGAAGGGGATGTGTGCCGCGGCGGAGGGCGAGGTTGGAGGGGCGCGGATGGAACGTAGATTTGATCGCGAGTTCTAGTCGGTCTGTGCTGGACCGAGCTTTGGTGCCGTTGTCCAGCGACAATGATAAGAGCGAGGCCGACAAGGGCGTCGCGGCAACGGCGGCGGTGGAGGAGTTGGCAGTGACCGATTCAGTCGAGGCTGGCAGGGGGGGCGACAAAGCTTCAGCCGATGACGGCTCGTGGTCGTGGTAGCAGAAGGCTTGCTGCTGATGGCGATGATGGCGATGGCGGTGATGATGGTGGTGGTGGTGGTGGTCGTGGTGCACGGCCATTGTGCTGGTGGTTTCTGGCACGCAGCTGTTGAAAAGAAAGGAAACAAGGGGGCAGAGCACGCTCTGATGGCTCAAGTCTGGAGGGTCCGGGGTCGTGGGGGACGGGTGGGTAGCGCAGGTGTCGACGTCAAAAGTTGGGCAACACTGGCAGCCGCGGCGGTCGGTAATCTGGCAAATACAACGGCAGGGGCATTCAATCTCTGCAAGCGCATGGTGTCCACCCGACCAAGAAGCGCACAGTTCTACCCTTCTTGACCGTCGATCACACACGATGGCAGAGCGTGTCCCTCGATCAGAAGCTCACGCGCTCGCCACAGAGAGTGTGTGTGGGATTGAGAGGGAGAGGAAGAGAGGGGCGAGCGAGGACAATGTTCGTTTGAGTGAGTGTGTGTGAGTGAGTGTGTGTGTGTGTGTGTGTGT